CTTTTGCCACACACTTTACATTTGTAGGGCTTCTCTCCAGTATGAATCCTGTTGTGACAATTACGCTGTGAGATGCTATTAAAAGCTTTGCCACATTCTTCACAGCTGTAGGGCTTCTCTCCAGTGTGAATTCGCTGGTGCTGAGTAAGTGATGATATGAGATTAAAACTCTTGCCACACATTTTACATTTGCAGGGCTTCTCTCTAGTATGAATCCTGTTGTGGCGATAGAGATGTGAGATGCTATTAAAAGCTTTGCCACACTCTTTACACTTGTAGGGCTTCTCTCCACTGTGGATTCGCTGGTGCTGAGTAAATGATGATTTTTGAGTGAAACTTTTGCCACACAATTTACATTTGTAGGGCTTTTCTCCAGTATGAATCCTGTTGTGGCATTGAAGATTTGAGTTTCTATTAAAACTCTTGCCACACACTTTACATTTGTAAGTCTTCTCTCCAGTATGAATCTTGTTGTGGCGATCAAGATTTGAGTTACCCTTAAAACCCTTGCCACACACTTTACATTTGTAGGGCTCCTCTCCAGTATGAATCCTGTTGTGGCAATCAAGATGTGAATTTCTATTAAAACTTTTGCCACATACTTTACATTTGAAGGGCTTCTCTCCAGTATGAATCCTGTTGTGGCGATGAAGATTCGAGTTTATATTAAAACTCTTGCCACACACTTTACATTTGTAGGGCTTCTCTCCAGTGTGGATTCGCTGGTGCTGAGTAACTGATGATTTTTTACTGAAACTCTTGCCACACTCTTTACATTTGTAGGACTTCTCTCCAGTATGAATCCGGTTGTGGCAATCAAGATTCGAGTTTATATTAAAACTTTTCTCACACTCTTTACTTTTGTAGGGCTTCTCTCCCATATGAATATTCTGGTAATTTTTAAGGCTTGGTTTTTGACTGAAACCTTTGCAAAATTGTTTACATATGTAGGGCATTACTCCAGGGTGTGTCCACTGGTGACAAATAAGATTGGAGCTTTTATTAGAAGTTTTGTCACATTCTTTGCATTTGCATGGCATATCTCCTGTACGAACATTGTGATGTTGAGTAAAGTTCTTGAGTGCATTGCATTCTTCACATTGGTAGGTCTTCTCTGCAGAATAAATTTTGGTGTTGAGTAAGGGTTGAAAAACTTTTTAAGGCTTTCCCACACTTTTTACATTTACAGATCTTTCCTTCAGTATACATCCTCTGATACTTAACAATTTGTAACTTTTCACTAAAAGTTTTTCCACATTCTTTAAATTTGTAGAATTTATCACTGTCATAGTATCTGCTGTATTTAAAAATATATCAAAGCATTTGCCTGCTCAATATCTTCTATACTTATCGGGCTCTCTTTCTCTATAAATTCTGTTGTATTAATCAAGCTCTGCACTGTGGTTAAGAGCCCTTTCATATATCTTACACTTGCAGGTTTTGTCTTGGCTATGAATATTTTAATGAATACTAGTTTTTGATCACTGAATCAAGACTTTCCTACATTTTTCATCTTGGTAAATTTCCTTTAGGAAAGAACTAGGATTTCTCTATAGTCATAATTTTTATCATCAATGTAAATATACTGGTCATTATTCATGGTAGAGACATGGTTTATTGTGTTATACCATTATCTATATAGTGGACTTTCCAGAAATCTGTATCAGAATTGTCATTGAGCAATAGTGGGGAAGTAGAAATTTTTCTACAATTTTTAATATTTTGTCCATTTGGGCACAAGGAGAAATTCATCTTTTGTTTCAGAAAAATGGACATTTTATAAAGAAACTCCCCAAAGGTTCACTTTCAGATATATCTTTTCTGTGCAAATGTTTGACTGGAATT